CTTAAGATTATACAATTATTTTATAATTAAAGAATCATAATTTAAATTTTATATAGCCAAAAGAAGTCATGTTATATCTTTTTTATTAATAAAATTATAGGTTGGGCTGCATTACATAAGCATTTGTGCACAGTAAAAAAAAAGGCAAATGTCTAATTAAAAATTTAAAACAGATAAGTCAAGATTTATGTTCTCTTTTTCTTAATAGAGGGTTTAATGGCGGCGGGGAGAGATACAGGTGACATACGGTATCTGTATGATGTGATAATGCCGCGTATGGGGGCAAATAGTAATCAAATACTTAAGTTGCAAATTAAATAAAAAATACTGTTTTTTAAGATGAGAGGTGGATTAATATTATATACTGTGGTTTCCACCCTATATATTATAAAATTTCATTTTTTTTGTCATGATGAATTTCAAAATATGATATTTTAATTTAAAAGTATGTATATGTGATGAAAAATTATGAATGTCTAACCTTATATATGCTTAGTGTCAAATTTATTTTTATACCAATTTTGCAGTAATTGTCACGTCAAACAGTAATTTATTTTAAACTGAAAAACTCATTCTCAAATGTAAAACAATTTTCTCGAAATTAATGTAATATACTTTATTACAAAGGAAAAAATATCAAAAAATATTTATTAAATAAGTAAAACAACACAATTTTACAAACTTTTCGAATTGGCTATAACATTATTTTAAATTTGATTGGAAAACAAATATTATAGAAAAATCATATTGTTTTAATTTATTACAAATTTTTTATTAAAATGTTGATAATTTATTTCTAAATTTGTACGGATATATGAAAATATTTACAAATTTTTGGATTTGCTTTTTTTCTTTTTTATATGATATACACACCATATATATATATATATATATATTATTAAAAATATTGGATTGAATTATTAAGAAAAATATCAAAGATCTTAAAAAAAAATATTTTTCTTATAATCAAAACCATAAAATATGTTAAAATGATATTTAACCACTTACTAAACTAAACACCTAAGTTCAAACTTTAATAAGTTGATTTACGAACCATTTTGACATAGAGAATCAATCCAAGAATGAGCAAAGGCTCAATTCACATTATTTACCAAAAACATTTATCATATCAATATATATATTATGTTGTACTTTATTGTATTTTCCACAGGCATCCTCGATCGGAACTTGAAATTTCTATATATAAATAATATTGCCTCAAACAATAGTCTCAAGGGTTCTCATTAAGTGGAATTTTAGGGTCAAACTCAAACTCATCTAGAGAAACTCCAAACTAACATGTGCATTGGTTTCATATTACGTGCTATGCTTATTTAAATTCAAATATTTTATTTTTCCTTTCAAAATTTTGTTTTTGAGAATTATTGCATTAGTAAATTGTTTTTTTTTATTCATAAATGATCTTGTAATGAAGTAAATATTAAGATTTTTAAAATCCAACCGCTTCGAACCCGGTAAAACTGTGTGTTCAATGGTTTATTCGTCATACGAGTGGTTGAACCGATTGTGATAGACTTTTATTTGTTAATATTTTCAGATATCATGTGAGAATTTAATTACTGAATTCTATACATAGAAATATATTATAAAACATAGAATGCTTAATGTAGTTGACATAATAATTTATGCATATCTAATATGTTTTATTTATAAAATATATATTTGAAAATAATAAAAGTAATTTTGTAAAAAATATTAGAATATTTGTATAATATGAATCATCTCATTGCCGATTGCCTAATTCGATTGGTTAAATATCAGTTTTCACAATCGATTTTCTAAAGGGAATTTGATCGGGTTTTCGATCCAACCGATCTGACTCAATTTTTTATAATTAGAACCGTTAAACGAAATGAGCCGCTTGTGAGCTGGACTCATTAAAGATCGAGTTTGGCTCGCTTCATTTGATAATGAGCCGAACTCAAGCTCAGTGAAATCTCGTTAGTTATTGAGTCCATTCGGCTCAACTCATTAAAACTCAAAAAAAAATTTTTATACGGCCTTATATTGTTCGGCTCGTTAAAGTTTGAGTTCGACTCATTAATATTTATAGACGAGTCAAAAATTGTGGTTCATTACTAGCTCGTTTAGTCAACAAGTGGAGCTCGTTAAGAGCTCGAGCTTGTTACGACCTAATAATTAATCTAATTAATTAATTAATGAAAACGTCAACGGATTAATTGACCAAAGACCATGAAATTATTTTATTAACTTTCACCAGAACTTTTACCTTGAAGAATTAAAATTTAACATTGTCAGATTAAAATTAATTAATTAGGCGGTGCTGCTAGGCAAGCTTCCTCAGGTGGCTTACAGCAAAGATTAATTACTTGTTCAACTGCTAATAGTAATTACCAAGTCTCGCATATTATTATTTTCATTTATTTTTTCTTTTTGTTATAAGGTGAAAGGGTGGCAAACAATAAATATGTTTCCTTGGAAGTTCCAAGGAAATTTCATTCTGGACTATTATTAGTTTCATTTTCTATTTACCAAATTTTTTAATATACATATATATATATATATATATATATTTATAATCAGTAATTTAGTATCAGCAATCAATATATGTAGGTTTGATTAGCTTCAAGTATGAACTATATTGTATTTTAGTATGCAGGTGCAATTTTATAATAATTAAGGGTAATTATCCAAACAATAACACCCAAAAAATGAATAATTGATAAAAAAGAATAAAAAAAATAGATGATGTATAATATTTTAAAATGCATGAGTTGTAGACATGTGATTTTTTGTCTCAACTAGGGTTTTGACTATATATAGATTGGAGATCCGACTTTAATCTACATAGGTAATTTTAAAAATAAAATAAAATAAAATAAAATGCATGAGTTTCTACATTCATCTTTTAGTGAACCCATCGGATTAGTTACCTTAAGTGAACTAATATTTATGGCAAAACCAATACATGATATATAAATAAACAATGTAAACATAAGTAGTATGACATTACACAATACAAATATGCAATTTAATTAAAAAAATATTACTGGTCAACTCGTTTAAATTGTTACACCTAAACGAAAGTTAAATAAAGGGAATACTTTTTATAGACTTTTGAAAGAACTCAAAATTCAATTTCATCTATTCAAATATGTTTCCATTTCTTCTTCTTTTTCGTCCTCTTTTTGGGGAGTGGGACTTTACATGTTTTTGTACACGTTTTCATATTTTGCTTGTTAATTTGATGGAATTAAAAAATACTTACAAATTAATTTTGATTGCATAATCCAGCACCGAATTCCAAGTTTTTCATTTTGCTTTAGTTACACTTCTTCGCGTTATAATAACTTGTAGTTATATAGTTCAGTCCTGGTCGGCTACTAATTTCCGCATGTCACATCTTAATTATGAATCCGTATTATATTATATTTTCTCTATATTTTAAGGAATTTATTTTTAATTTTATGATTTATCTAATCAAATGGGTTTGTTTTATGTCAAATTCATTTGACATGAATTGTATTGCACCAGTTTAATCTTCGATTTGAGCGAATATTTCACTCACCAGCTGTTTGATAAAAAATTAACTAAAACAATATTCAATGATTTAAAAAAAAAAATGTCTTCAATTATATTTTATCCTTTTTCATACAATATGACATATATATAGTGTGAAATCTTGAGAAGGACAATCCGTACGTACCTTAGGTTAGCTTGAATTATTATTAAGGGACATTGTGTTGTTCAATGTAGGGCATCTTTAGAGAGCAAAGGCCAGCTAATATGTTTGAACCAAAAATATGTTTACATGTTCAGAAAAATCAAATAGACATTTTGGTTCATAAATGTTGAAACTGAATGTACTCTTTTTCTATCTGGAGGTACAACCCATGTGGGCAAGAAAGAGCCATGAAGCATCCTTTCTGAAGATGGTGATATAGGAAAAATGAGAAGATTTATATTTGCCATAAATATATTTTGTCAGAGTTCAAAAATCGTGATTAAAATGTAAATTCACGTAAGTTTGTGAAGATTCGTGAATTTTCGGCATAAATCTTCCTTATGTAATTTCAGAACGCTCTGAGCCTAAGTGATAGTTTTCACACGATTCGTATCTTACTTGGCAAAATATTATGTTTTATAATATTGCTTGGGTAAAAATTATTAATTTTTTATATCAAATAACTTAGGTTCGGATTATCATATATATACACATACTTAATATTTTTAAACCATTCCATATAAAATCAATTTATTACTTTCTTTTTATAATGTGCATATAGTTTTATTTTCCAAATTTTGTGTTTTGTTCATATTATTCCCTTATATGTTTTAAATAAAAAATAATAAACAAATTTAATTATGTATATAAATTAGTTTTCAAAATTTAAAATAAGATTGTTAATTCACTTAGTTATTTATTATATATTGTTCTTTAATTATTTTTTCCAACTTCAACAATATATATATATATATATATATATATATTTTATTGTACATTTAATTATTTTATTAATCACCCGTGTAGTACACGAGTATTGTAGTAGTAAATAGTAATACAAATTTAGGGTATTATTTTTGGAATAACGATGTTTTGACAAAAAAAAATGGTATAAAATAATGTGTATGTTAGATAGTTTAATTTAAAATTTATTTGATGTTCAAAGTACTTGAATCGTGACACATGTTATTATGTCATTTTTTATGTCATACGTGATTCTTGTTTTTATCTCATCTTTTATCAATGATGAATGATGATTTTGTTATTGGATCCTGATTATATTGGGCTCATTATACATGTCTATCATGGCCAGTGATCATATTCATGTTGCGCTTCTTACACATATTTTCTGGGCTCCATTTTTTATACGATTTTCTGGCCCAGACAGACAATGAGCCTATTATTCATTTTTTCCAATCAACCCTCCAAATTTGAAGGCGCGTGGCATCCAAGCATACTGGTCTTCAATGGCGCTACATAGTCAAAGCAACCGCGCAATCTCATTGGCCAATAGGAACCACGACTGCGTGGCGCCGGTAAATTCACCTCCAAGCCCCACTCGCACCATTCTACGCGCGTGGTGCTCACTCCCACCACACAAACCACTCCCCAGCTGAAAGAGTCCATAATTTCACACCATCGTCAAAGATTGGTAAAATTCCCTCGACTGATAATCCGATTCATATACGAGAGAGAGTCAGCTTGTGTAGAGATCGAATTCATGGACGCGCGGCGTTTCTGGGCGGTGCTGTTAGTGGCGGCGGCTGTGGTCCCGGCGGCGCTCGGGGTGTGGCTGGACTTGCCAAGCACGGGGACGAAGTGCGTTTCGGAAGAATTGCACAACAACGTCGTCGTTTTGGGTGATTACTACGCTTTCATCGGCGAGGATTATGACGTGAACAACACCGTCAACCCTTCTATTACCGTCAAGGTTTTGATCATCCCTCTTGTGCCTATTTGTGTGCGATTATTTGATGAGAATCGATTGATTTTTTTTTTCAGCCTTTTTTGGTTGTTGATGTTATGGATATTCAGTTGTTTAATTGTTGAACTTTGTTGGATGGAAATTGGGGAAGATTGATAGTATGAGAATTGTGCAGCTTCGAGTGATCATCTCATGTCCAGTGTAGCTGTTAATTATAAAGTAATTCTTTAGTTTTAACGAACTACTTACTACTGGTTAGTAATGAATACTGAGCCCATTCCAATATTTTAGTGTGGTAAATGCAGTTTTTGTTTGTACACAGGATTTTGCTTCTAGTTAAGTCCATTGGGAGTGTTCATCAAATGTTTCTGTTTTTTTCTTCTTTAGCGACCTGCTGCAAGCCTGCAAGTAGTTGAGAACTAGAGTTAGTTGCATTTGCTTATACGAGTCGGAAATTGACCATGGGAGTTTTACAGGAATTGATTCATAGTTGGGAATGAAACAAGGTTATTTGAGAATCAAAGGTGAATTATATATCAAATAAAATTAGTTCAATTAATCAAGTCAAAGACGGAACTTTTGGTGACAGAGCGTGCTAAAAACGTCATTTTTTCGAAAACTGAAAATCACTTTTTGTAGTGCTTCTAATATCACATAATCATTGGAATTTGTTATTAATATGACTTTATGGTATAGACAATTGAAGAATTTCACATGGTAGTACGTCATTTTCCTCTCCTTATCTCGTAATTATTTTCCGAATACTTCTTTCGTTGATTTGTTTGGTGGTGCGGAGGCTTATTCCAATAAAAACATTGTCAGGGATTGCTCTGCTACTGATTTTTACTTTCTTACAATGGAATTAAAAGAACAGCACAAACTTGAAGACTCTTGATAGAACCGAAATTTTGTTGCTATAGTCTCCATAAAAATCCGGTTGGTCTTATTGTCATAACCCATTAACCTCCAGTTACATGGGCAATATCCAATTCATAACATAGTCATGGCTTTACTACAAGAAAAGAAAAAAAAAAAAAAATCAATTTGATTACTCAAGCTTATTGCAAGAGTTAGTATCTAATCATCATAGTTTGTTGTATGTAATTAACCGTTCTCTTTCTCCAATGATGTTCTATTGCACATTGTGTTACCTAAACTAATCCTATTGTTTGCCTCTTTCAGGTTACGTCGCCGTACGGAAATGACCTCTATCATCAGGAAAAAGTCTCACATGGACAGTTTGCATTTACAACGACTGAGATGGGAAACTATGAGGCTTGCTTTTCATTAGACAATGATCATCATGGTAAAAGGGTAACAGTTGGTATTGAGTGGAAAACAGGGATTGCTGCTAAGGATTGGGACTCTGTTGCAAAGAAAGAAAAAATCGAGGCAAGTTTTGTGTTTTTTTCTTTTCTTTTTTACCTTAATGGTTTTGATTTGGCTTTTATGTCACTGATGATAAGTTGATAACTATCATTTCTTGCAGTATTATTTGGTTTTATGTATTTTCTCATGTTATTCGTGGATCATAAATTATGAATGTCTGTAGGGGCTGGAGCTTGAGTTGAAAAAACTCGAAGAACATGTGGAGGCAATTCATCAAAACCTAAATTATATGATAAATAGGCAAGTTCCTCATTTTGGATGCCCTTTCTCTTTTTTCTTTTCTTTTAAATGTGTAATTCCTCAAATTCGTATCATTTCTTAGTTACATCCGGGAAAGAAAATATATATATTACACTTTTTGCATCTCATTTGGTTCACTTGTTTTATAGTTCAGTTTTTCATTTTTTCCCGAATTTTGCTATTGCAGGGAAGCCGAGATGAGGGAGGTTAGTGAGAAGACTAATGCTCGAGTCGCATGGTACAGTTTAGTGTCACTCGCTTTATGCATTGTGGTTTCAATTACTCAGATATTCTACTTGAGGCGATATTTTCTGAAGAAGAAGCTCATATAGACTACCAAATTGCAGTATACAGATTAATTTTAGGTTGAGAAAATAACAGTCTTCCTTATCATTAAGTAGCCTGAGTTAGTTCACCCTGTCTATTTTCTCTCAAACGTACATCAGTCTTTGAATACAGCAAACTAGAAATACATGGCCTGTCTCGAAAGGCTTTGAGGATTTTGTACTAACTCAATTACTGATAGGGGAAGTTATTATTCCGAGTGAATAGTGATATGATGAATCTTTCATCTTCAAATTGTTCTCTTATCGTTCGTTCGATGTTATGGGTAATTTTCTTG